CCAAACCAAATTTTCCAATCCGAGCCCTGGCAATCACACCACGCACAAGTTCATTTTTCTAAATTTACAACTTATGCATAGCTTTCTTCTTCTTCATTTTTGTAGGTACTATCAGTAAATTAATCCTTTGGAAGTTTTCCCTGATTTTTAATAGTACAGGGTGCACAATATGATCCTGAATCAAGCCTCTGACAGTATCACCCCTTGTTGGAACAATGTACTGTTCATTAGCATTTTCAATGTTATAGGCTTCAGCCTCAGAAATTTCATCTCGAGGGAAATGGACATTAATTTCATCACCATCAAAATCAGCATTATACGAGCTACCGTTGAGATAGAAATCATACAAACAACCCTATGAACTTTAGCTAAATCTCCACCAGGAACAGTAGTAGGTAGCTGGTAGTTGATTCCACATTTGAAGCCATAAACTGGTGTCTCGTGTGCAACATATTGAAGCTTCCCTTTCTCCAGTTGCGAAGGTTGTTCTGGTGAAGAGAAAGTTCCAAAACAAGGCTAGATCTGAAGCTAAAGTTATCTTCATATTTGCCATGAACTAGTGACCATGAATTATCATCCATAAAAGGAGAAAAAATAGACAATGGAATCGAAATAAATTCTATGAAAACATCCCTAGCACAAAGCTAGAGAGAACTGAAGAAAATCTTTCTGGTAATTGATTTGCTCCATGAGGTAGGAAATGATTTGGATCCATCATCAATGGCGGAATAAATTATTGATGAGGAAGAATTGAATGAGATCCATAAATGGACAACATCAACAGACGAATTTAAAACCTGAAAATATGGATGAATATGAACACGGAATTCATCCAGCAAGTTCTTTGAAAGTTTGCTGGTAACACTTTTGGCTACCTCAATCCTCAAAATAAGAAGAAATCCGTTCCGACATTTCGTCAGCCAAGCTACTATCCTATTTTGTTTAACAAATTGAAGTCTCCCGCAACAACCAGACAGCCACATCCAGATCTATACACTCCACTCTATCATTTCGTTCTTCATCAGCTCAAAATCCACAAATAATTACCCAGACTATACAAAGTTTAACCTGTGAAACTGATTGTAATGGTGGGACAATTAACGCAGTAGCCGGCGTAGAATATTCCGACCGGATCCAAATGAAATTCCGGGGATGTAAATTGAAGCGCCGGTAAATTGGAAATGGACTGAGCTAGGTTTCCTTGAAAATGGGTTTGAGCTAATCGAACAAGGGTGGAAGTTCGATTTTCGAGTAACATCGGGACGGGTCCAGCCGGAGCAATTGCGGTGAACAAACTCCTGAGACTTGCTACGCGTGAACATTCCGATTAAAGGATTGGATAATGATGGAGATTGCTTCTTTCACTTTCTGGAATAGAGATTTACAGATGATGATTGCATAGTTTTTTTTTTTGGCTCTGATATTATATTAGAAATTGTTAACAAAAACTGAAATTGAAGAAAATGATGATATTAAAAACAATGAAGAGAATGATAGATTCAACATGATGATTTCATATTAAAGATTGGAATAAAATCCAATAAATTACAATGCATACAAAGTGCTCAATTTATAGACTAAAAACTAACAAACTAAGAAGACTCTAGAATAAAGATGAGGTGGATATTCTAACAATATTTTTCTACTGCATGAATGCAATTAATTTCCCTCGAACAAAGAATTGGAAATGTCAGTAATGGATTGAGGGAGGAGGGCGTTTTCTGGCACATGAAATGGTACAATCACATTACTTTCCTATCTTCTTCTCCAGAAGAGGAAGACATCTGTGGTATATGTTTGGTAAGGGTTGTATAATATAGGCAGCCTTAGATCTTAAGGTTAGAATTTTATTATCTTTCTTGTATATATAATTTAAACTTCAGTTTTTTTTTAATGCAGGATGAATACATTGAGGGTCAGAATATTGGAGAACTTGACTGTGAACACAAGTTTCATCAAAACTGCATGAGGAAGAGGTTCATGCAGAAAAATATCCGTCCTATGTGCAAAAGGACTGGTTTGGCAATTTGAAAAGGGATTTTCAGGATTCAACATTTTACCTAAATGTAGATTTTCTATTGTTTGGGAAATCTTATCTAGTCAGAAATGATATTTTGATTAGATATTTGTATTAATGACCATTACTGGACAAGGAAATTTTTGTTTCTTGGCATTGATACAATTTTAAACTCGTCATCTGCTTCTGTGTGCTCCACATGTATTTTGTAGTGTGTGATATTGACTTTATGAGTTCTCTTTATCTTGGCTGGCCGTCTTCTTGTTGTACTTAAACCCGTTAAGTTTGTGTTAAAATAAATTTAAATGCATGCCTTGTAGATCTATGTTTTAGTTGTCTTAAGAGAATATTTGGAGCATAGCCTTTTCAATGTAGTAGACAAAATTAGTAGGTCCAACGAGACATCCCAAGTTAGTAGCACAATTTATTAAAAATAATCAAAATAGTAAACAAAAATCCACACCTAATACAAGCCAAAGGCTGATAAAATGTCCCAGCTACTGTTAGATTTTCGATGTAATTGGTAGGTCTGTGAACAAAATAGACTATATTTAGTATTTTACAAAAGTCAAGAATTAAATTGCAAATAGTAGAAATTGAGTTGTATTGAGTCTAGGGTTCAAGAAAGAAAAAAAGGAAAAACGGCGTCGCAATTTCGCTAGACTGTTGCCATGACTTGGCTCGAGCGGCAAANTATTAGGTCTAGGGTTCGAGATTGGTAAAGAAGGAAAAACGGCACCGCAATTTCACTAGACTATCATCATGACTTGGCATGAGTGGAAGAAACAGTAACATAGTCGCTAGCCAGTCGCTAGGCTAGGCTTTCGCTCAAGCGACAAGGTTTCTCGGAAGTTTTTAATTCACATTTTAAAACTTTTTGTCCGGCCCATTCAATCCCAAAACCTAAACTATAAATAGCAAATGCCTCTGAACGGCTTTCATGAGGTTGACCATTGGAGAAAAACCATATTGCTTATTATCCTCTTGTTCCAATTCATGTGTAAGCTTTCAACCTTCAAAGTGTGATTTGTTCTAGGCATTGAAAACTTCAAAACCACTTAATCCAACTACCAAATTGCTACTTCCTACACATCTGTTCCAGTACTGAAGATCAAGGGAAGGTGACTAGAGTTCCAATTTTTTAAGAACATAGAGTTCTTTATTGATCCACTAGAGACAAACGAATTCATAAAGTCGGGAGTTGGTGCATGAGCGCGCAATCCAGGAGGGCTTTGAAAACTGCAGTTGGGAGTTGGTGCAGAAGTACGAAATTAAGGAGAGCTATGGGAATTACAGTCAGGAGATCAAAAAGTACTAGTGGTAGTTGAGTCTGGTAGACTGTAGGTTCTAATTCGTTTATAATTTATATTTGACTAGCAAAGTGCTCAGATTTTTCACTCAGTTGGGGTTTCTCCGTGATCATTTCTTATGTTTGTTTATTGCTTTCATATAACTACGGTATTTCAACATAGGAAAAATTGGACTATTTGATTAACCATATATAGATAATTAATAGTAACTTGTTACTAATTAATTATTAAATTTTAATTCCGTATAATCACCTATTCACCCTCTCTCTAGGTGTAGTTTAGGTCAAATCTCATTATTTCAATTGGTATCAAAGCCACATTTTGAATCCTTACCCTTAAATTATCTAGATAAGTCAGTCTCTATCTGTGCCTCCATTTTTTTACGGAAGAAAACTACACTTACTGGAAAGTTTGAGTGAGAGCATTCTTTAAAGTATTGGATGAGCATACTTGGATTAGTGTACAAAATGGTTAGACTGCACCTTCATCCACTGTTGCTGGTGTTGTTATACCCATTAATATTTCTCTTTGGATCAAAGACCAAGTTGCTGATTGTAATTGGAATAGTAAAGAGATTCATATTTTATTTATGGCTATGTCTGCAGATGGGTAGGAGAGTGTCGATGTGTGAAAGTGATAAAGAAGTTTGTGATATCTTAGATACCACACATAAGAGTACCAAAATAGTTAAGAACTCAAAACTGCAAATGTTAACCTCTAGATTTGAAGAAATTAGAGTGAAGGAGGATGAATTGTTCAATAAATTCTATGTGAAGTTTAATGATATAGTTAACTCGAGTTTCAACCTAGGTGAGAAGATCCCCTAGTCCAAGATAGTTTGAAAAGTCCTCAAATCCCTACATAAAAGGTTTAGACCTAACACTGCTATTGAAGAAAGTAAGGACTTATATGAAGTTAAGATTAAGGAACTCGTCTAATCTCTCCAAAATTATGAACTCACCATTTCTCAATCAAAGAAGGGTAAATCCATAGCCATGAACAACATTAGGGAAGACGAGAGTNTGAGACCCTTAGGGACGATGAAATAGTATATTTCATGAAAAAATTCCAGATGGTGATGAAGAATATGAGAAAACCTCACGATAGGAAAAATTATGTTCCTAGTAAATTCTCAAAAGATAAGCGTGAGAAGAATAATCCCTAGGACTTCTAGTAAGAAAACCCAGTCTATTAGATGCCATGAGTATTAGGGTTTTGGTCATTTACTAAAAGAATGAATGTTCAAATTTGAAAACGAATTTGAATAAAGGAAGGGGTAAGGCATTAGCAGTGACTCTGAGTGATGATGAATCTGATTCAAGTGTTTAGAGTGATACCTCTGGTGGTGAAGACGAACAAAATTTTATGGCCTTCACGTCTATAGATAAGATTGAATCTGATAAGGAAAGTGAAAAGGTTGAAATGAAGAACGTAGTGAGAAATCTGAGGAAGATTCTAAGGATGAAATCGATATTCATGAGTTTTATCGAGAGTTATTTGAGGAGAGTATTAAAACCAAGAAGGCCAATAAAGTCGTACTGAAAAAGGTTAATGAACTTGAACGAGAGAAAAACTCACTGCGGACCTTCAGGACTCTACCAAAAATTTGAATAAGTTGAAACTTATTAGTGAGAACTTAGAAGACAAAGTTAATTCCTTAATAAGTGATCTTGAAAAATCTAACACACAACTTCATTCATTTATGAGCGGTACGCAGAAACTCGATAATCTATTAGGAATGAACAAACCTGCTGAAAATAGGCATTGTCTGGATTATGTTCAAAATTGTAATACTACTGCTAGTACATCCATAACCACATTCGTCCCAGCCACCAACAAAGCTCGAAATACTATTAATCCTGAACCCAAGGACGAGAATGTCTTAGGATCAAGACCTACTAGAACGTAGGGTCAATAGTCCTATAATCGGTAACCACCTCTACGTTGGTATGAACTTAGGTTTATTCCCACCTGGCACAATTGTGGTGCGCTGAAACACACAAGACCTAGGTGTCGTAAACTCACAAGTAGAAGTAAAGGTCAAGATATCTCTAGCAAGGTTAACTTCCTCGCAAATTAGCTTAGCCACTTAACTGAGATGATAACTCAATCAACTAGAATCACTTCTACTTCTAACAAGGTTTGGATTAAGAAGAGTGACCTGAAAGATCGTAAGATTGATCATGCTCTTAAAGGTAAGAGTATCCATGTACCTTTTTGATTAGGTACTTTGGTGCATGTTCGTGCTTTAGTGTTGTGTGACATTGATTTTTGCATGCATCATATTTGGTTATTTGTTTTCTAGGTAGAAAATTCATGCTTTTTTACTTTTATTTATATATTTATTTATTTTGTTGTTGCTTTGTGTGTTTGGTGTAGTTATGCTTTAAAAAAAATGAACATTTGAAAATAAAAATGCAGGAAAATGTTCTTTTACAACATAATATACAATAAACTTGATTTTGTTTGTTGTGATCAAGCTTGGGTTTAATCAATGAACTGTAACATAATAGTTTTCATTGCTGACTTAGGTTATTTATGGAGTACTTAGTATAGGTGTATTCATGTAACATATGCACTGCACACACTATGATATTGTTAGTAGAACTCTACCACGTGTATGAAATTTGGGATGTCAAACACTTGTTAGTAGATGACTTCGAACATGAATTGACTTATTTCTTAGACCTAAACTCAAGTTTATCCCCACCTATAACAAGCTCAATATCTTATATTCTTCTCTGGAGACTATTTGACTCGAGCAACTAAGCCTGCAGGATTTCTTATAACCTAGTGCATATAGTCATTTTACTCACTTAATGAAGAAAAACATGCACTTAAGATGAGAAAAATAACAATGAGTTCCCATTTTAAAAGATATGAGAAACAATTGCTCAAATTCGGGGTAGAAAAGAAATTTTTCATAAAAAATGAGCTTTTCGGTATAAGTTCTAATGTGCTTTACTTGGTTTGACTTTCATAAGTAGAGGAATACCCTTATTGACAGTGGCATTTATTATGTCATTTCTCACAAAATTAAGGTTTGGAGTCCTACTTCCAAAGGATTAGTGACATTTTACACATATGGGTCACTTATGCAATTTACTACATGTTAACTTGAGTTACTTATGTGGAAAGGGTTACTGTCCATTGCCCACACTTATGCATGCTAACAACTGCATTTTTAGGTTATTGTATGTTAATTCCTGGTCCTTTGTCATTTGTGACAAAAAGGGGTAGTAAACTTGGTACTTTAAAAGTTTGATAGTTTATGTTGTACTTAAAAAACCAAAAAAAAAAAAAAAAAAAAAATTTATTTGACATTTACATTGAATGTTAAAATTTTGATTCGGAAATATATAATATTTGTTTCAACTAGATTAAGATTTGATGTTTCGTAATATCAATGTTTCTTTTGGTATTGGTTTACATTGATATTGTATCTTGATTTCGCTGGTATAACTTATGGTTAACTGTCTGACTTGTGTTTATTTATCGTATTACAATTTCACGTGCTTTTACACTAGGTATTGAGTTATCTATTTCAGGAAACATGTTTACAAGGAAAAACACAGTTTACTCAAGATAGTTGGTTTGATAGTAGTAAGCGTTTTGAGTCTGTTTTATTTTACTACCTTGACTTTAGATTTGTAGTTTTGTCACAAAATGCTTAAAGAGGAGCTTGTTAGGTTTTTAATGTAATG